TTCGACTTGCATCCAGCTGGTATCAACACGGTTGTCCGGCTTCGTTTGATTCACCCCCTGGACGTGAGCTCACGCGGTTGTCGAGCTGAGGATGGTGGTCCTGCTTGTTACAATCTTGGCTGTGACGGGGAGCCTGTGCATCTCAGCACTGGTTCTTGGTCGTCTCTTCGGTACAGGAGAGTTGATGAGACAAACGAAATGGTCCTTTTGTTTTTTGATGTTGGTTCTTTTGTGCCTTGCTCGAGTCCTCATTCTTTGTCATGAATCCTCGGTATACATGAAACCAGTGAGGAGAAGCCCTACTGAATCTCGTGACAGATGGCGGTGATCGTGACAAGATTGCGGCAGCACTGAGACTTGCACTAAATTCTTGGGGTCTCAGACCAAAGCTGTTTTTGGTTGAACTATGAAGAGATGATCAGGACACCTTTTGTGAGTTTGCCTTGGAGGGGTGGTTCTAAGAGAGGTCCTGATTGTTTGCCAAGGAAAGAATGTGCTCAGGCACTCATGGACATCGAGGAGAAAGATTTGTCCAAGGAGACCCTCAAACGGTCACATCTCCGATCTCAGAGCGTTCCGATGTCAAGCGGTCCGATCGCTCCGTTCGGTTCGCGATGCCAGGAGCCCCGTTCGTAGCTTCCTTGCTCATAGTAGTAAGGCCAGGAGCCCCTAGTAGCATCCTTGCTCCTAGTACAAGTCGAGTCACCGCCTTGTTTCTTTTTTCCGTTGGCTAAAGTTGTATATGCCGCGTTGGGACATGAGAGGACCTGGCTCGCATGAACATTTACGACCTGAAAGCCCTCAAGGCCGCCATGGCCGCTGTTTTTGTGGCCCTTTGGCCGCGGTACCGGCGACTTCTCGCGACACCGGCGAAATCGGTCGAGGTACCGCGACACCGGTTGACATGCGAGCATCCGTAGGAACATTCGTGGCGTCGTGAACTGACTAGATCATGATCCGACTAGTAACAAGTGCCACGCTAGTAGTAACAAGTGCCTTACTAGTAGTAACAAGAAGCTAGTAGTAACAAGTGCCACGCTAGTAGTAACAAGTGCCTTACTAGTAGTAACAAGAAGCTAGTAGTAACAAGTGCCACGCTAGTAGTAACTAGTCTTCTTTCATCAAATGCAAGGAAGTGCTGCCAGTTGCAAGTGTGTCCACAAGGCGTCGGAGAGAACAGACGAAAGGAAGAACATAATTATAGTACTAGGACTGTGTCATACAGAGCAATAGCTGTAGTAACTGTAGTACGTAGTAGCTGCAGCGCACATTTGAGGATGTCCCTCTTTTATATCTTTTATCCAACATGAGGGTTTTCGGTTCTTTTTGCCATTCGCAGAGGTTCTTCTGTTTCAATCGAAGACGACACGAGTTTCTCACTGCAAAAGTCCGAGGATGTGCTTGACAAATCTTCAAGACTCACCTCTCGCGTGGCTGTTTCCTCGCGTGGGAAGAAGAGCTTTGGCGAGCATTTTGTTGCGGTGGAAGAGGTGCCGCGTATTCGTCGTGTTCAACCAGTTGTTGGAGAATTCTTACATAATTGCTTGGTCCATTGGTTCAAGCTGCGAGGCATTTTTGTCAACCAGGCGGTTGAGGATGGGTGAAAGTCTTTATTTGCGGCCTTTCTTTGAGGTTAATCCTAGATGTGCGAGCTGCTGTAACCTGACGTCTAACTATGATGTTAAGTGCATTCTGTGGTTTTTCTTTTGTGTGCATGTACATCATGTAAAAGCCCATTTGATGTGCAGTACATGGCCAGACATGAATGTAATTTCTTACTGCAGGATGCTGCGAAAGGAGTTAGATCCAATGTATCCGCAAACGACCCATGGTGACCTTTTGGTATATATATATATACACAGTATGTTTATCATGACATCACGGACGGCGGGATATTTGAGGCTACTTCCGTCACTCGCCACTTCCAGTTTGGTTACATCCGTAGATGTCCGTGTCCAAACGGACAGCCTTGTGAACTTGTGATCCCAGGCCAGTCCCAAGGCCTTGCCCCGAGCTGTCACCTTCGCCAGCTCAGGCGGGGTAGGGCATGCGACTGGGCATTGCAATCGAACGCGTGGCACGGCACTTCCGGGATGTTGACCCTTCCGTGGTGCGGTCGCAGGATTTAGGATTTCCTTTGGCAGCAATGTTCCTTGCGCCATGTGGCTTGGTGGAACCACCTTACTAGGCCAGTAGCTTCTTGTTACTAGCAGCTACTTGCTCCTAGTAGTAAGGCCAGGAGCCCCTAGTAGCTTTGTAGAGAAAACCAAATACTTGCAGCTTTTGAATGTTACAGGGCCGTTCTGCACTAAAGGATCAATGTTGATGTGTTTCTTGTCGGGCCGGGTGACATGTCCTTGAAGTGAAACAGAACAGAACAAGCTCCTGCATGATTTCTCATTCCGACATATATATATTATGATTAAAACAATATTATGAAATCATTAACTTTTACTTGATGTAATTTATTTATATGTGACATTGATTATAATATGTGCTGTTGTACATATAACTAATACGTAAGACTTGTTCTGGACGGATGCTTTTTCTCGTGCAGATGGCCATTGCGAAGACCACACCTCTGGCGGAGGTGAAGACGGAGGTGCGCGGCAGTCGTGGACCGAAGCATCGACCCACCGGTAACGACTGGGAGCAGAGTCCCAAACGAAACAGGGACTCAGTGAAGGCGGCTCCAAACGATATCAAACGATTAGCACGGGGTCACGGGGTGTCCAAACTCAGAAGGCTTTTGTTCTGTTTTGTCACAACATCGTTTGGATCCTGAGGGTGAGTGCAAATGGTCCAGATGAGGAAGTTGTTCGCACACAAAGCGCAGGTGGCTGCGAAAGATACAGCAACTTCAGAATGTACCGATTCCGAGGCATTGGACAAGATATGCATTTGTTTGGTGTTGTTGTCTCAATCGAAGATTAGGTGTTGGGAACAAGACATCAAGGAATCAATGTATATAAAGCTGCATGTATATATAAAGCTTGTGAAGGAGTGGCATGTGTGCATGCAGATAGCCTTCATGGTGAAAGCCTTCAGGTGTTAGACATGGAGACTCAAATTGCAGAACTGTGAAGCTGGGCGATTGCGAGGATGCCGATCTGCCTCTCCAGCAGCCTTATGAGGAGGTCCAATTCATTATTGATTCTGAAGAACCTGAGGCCATCGCGGCCGCACATCTTAAAAAAGTCCCTCTCTGATTTGAGATTTTTGTTTTGTGGTGGTCCAATTGTGCGAGCATGTGTAACCTATATAGTATAGGCTCATCTGACAGGTGGTATGCTTGGTGGTCCATCTACTTCAACCTAATTCAGCTACTTAGATGCTGGACCCAACGAAGACTGTTGGACCCGTGCTGTTGATGAGTGACTGATGCACCCTCCCAGCTGTGACATATGTACAACTTGTGATACAACTTGTGTCCTAGCCTAGCTGAGTGTAGATGTTCATAGATTTTCTTGTTGTCAAGATCTCACGCAAATTGGTTCAATTTGTGACTCATGTCGGTCCGTTGGAAGGGTGAAGCCACAGTTTTACAGATACTTTCTGGTGTTTCGACGTTTGCGCTTCAATTCAATTCGAAGAACACATTGAGCAGTCTCTGTGGTTCCGAGTTGGGAGTTGTTACTCTTGGAGGCTTTTGCGTCCCCAACAGGAGAGGTAACAGGGGGGTACACCCCAACTTGGAACTGGAGGCTGACGGGCACAGCGCTTACATGCACACCCCAGGCAGTTGGAGGTTGAAGTGGCTGGTTGATGCTCCACGCCTAGGGGTTGGTGCCGGCTCCAAAAAGTGGCCTTGTCAGGGTCACAGGGGTACAGTAAGTGTTTCATAAGAGCTGTTGGTGGAGATTTTGGAGAGGCCAAACATTGGAGCCAACATATTGCAAAATGATACTTCCAAAACTTTGCTGTGCATGTTTCGCACGTGCATGGAATTGGGGGTCTTGGTGAGCGAGTGAACTTGGGACGTGTGGATTCGACAGATGTGCAGCACCAAGTGTAACACATGGGGCAGAGTTCTTCAGGATGAATGTGTGATGTCCCAGTCCCAAGCTCTCTGACACCATCGATTTGTTGTTCTGGAGGACTCCAAGAGTCCGCCCGACGGCGATTTATGAGATCCATCAGATGCCGCAATCCCCCCAAAGTGGTGTGGAAGGGTTTAATGATGACTCCCTGCGAATTGAGACCTGAGTCTCGACCGCCCACAATTGAGACTGCCAAGTTCAGGTGCCTTGTTCAGGCGCGGACCACCGAAAGGTGGGAAGAGCGACACAAAGCAGAGAGAACATGCTCCCAGGAGGACAGAGTCTCGTAATCCTAAGAGTCTCGTAATGTCTCGTAGCATCTTCTGTGGTCGTAATGGCATGTGAGCCGCTGGTTTCTGGTTTCGCGCTTTCTGGGGGCATGAAGCACGATTGGTTGAGACGGTGACTCTAGGGATCTCGGGGACATGGAGGTGCTGCAGATAAACAAGTAGCATCGCTAGTAGAAACAAGTGCCTTACTGGTAGTAACAAGAAGCTAGTAGA